AGCTGTGTGGACCCTGGCTAGCGCCAGACGTTACTGAAGTAACGTCTTCTGCATAGCTACGGGAATAAAAGAATAATAATAATGTCAGGTAGTATTAGCGATCTGTAAAATAACAGGGCCTGTTGCTCAGTTAAGCAGGAGCGAATGGCTCGCAGCGCCGTCAGTTTCTGGGAGGTCTTCCGTGTGATAGTCGCAACTTGAGCCTCCCACCAAAGCTGGGAGTCGAGATGCTGACCTACATGATTGTAGATATCGAGCAGTTGTGGTCTGAGCTAGGGGATTTCCATTGCATTCTATGTTAAGTAACAAGGGCTGCATGCGGGACGCATGTAGGGCCAGAACGTGGGTTTTGGAGGGATTTAGTACCAAGCCTCTTTCTTCCAGAAAGTTGGCCAGGTTGGAGACCGAACGGGAGAGGGTTAAGTTCAAGAATTCAACAGATTGACTGATGGCGTCTAGCAGGATATCATCGGCAAACAGTTGTGAGTGGGCTGGAGCTGTGATCTGTTCTATTTCCATTGTGTAGATGAAGAACAAAAGAGGACCCAGCACACTTCCCTGAGGAACACCACAGCTACATGTACAAGGAGAGATGGCTGACGACTGGCCAATGCTCAGGACGACTCGCTGACGGCGGTCCGTTAGGTAGCTCATGAACCAATACTGGCAATAGAGCGCCGTTGAGGTAATGCCTAGCTGAAATACATGTAGATCTGTATTACCAATATTTGGTGTTTGACCTTATCGAAGGCCTTACTCATGTCGACAAGTACAAGACCTGTATGGCGCTGCTGATCCGCTGCCTCCAAATATCTGTCTACAGCCAATGTCAGGGCATCTTCTGTGGAGTGAAGTGGGCGATATACATGTACGAGCTGGTTTACGGGGAACACGGAATTTTCGGACGGAGAGGAACTTTAATACAGAGTCTCGTGTGGACTACCGGTTCCAGGCCTTTGGAGACTATTGGTAATAACGATATTGGTCTATAGTTTTTAGCGAGTATCACTACTACTTCGAAGTAATATGCTGCTAGAACTATTACTTACTTTAATACTAGTAGTAGTATCCGGAATTCCGGATACATGTACACTGTATCCGGATACAATGTCATGTATCCGGATACAGTGTACATGTACTGTAGCAGGTAGCAACCCCCCACAAGACTCGGATTGTACACACATGTACATGTACATGTACATGGCATGTATTGTTGTATCCTTCTGAGGGTGTGGAGCTGAGTTTCGTAAGCTCTTTCTCTCGGTTGGCTCCGTAACTGGAGACTGCTGTGTCCGTTCAGTTCCGGTTCCACTTACATTATACAATCATGTACATGATTTAGTACAGCCTCATAAAATGATAAAATATTTCATAATCATGCAGATGACAGCAGTTCTGTGGATTGCATCCGCCCCACCACTACACGCATCATTGCCAGGGATGGTGAGTCCAGAAAGTTCTCACCAGGGAGCCCTACACAGTGCACATACAGTGCACATACATTGTACATGATTGTACATGACTGTACAGTCTTTGTGGTCCACTTCACAACAATAACACACACAGAAATCTCTGCTGTGAGCACGGTGGCTCGGCAATGGCGAAGTATTCTTCTATGGCTCCCTGGCCCTGGTTCTCACACCTGTCACTGCCGCAACGTGCAACGTCACCAAATACGCACAAGTGATCATGCAGGTACGTATTATGGCGGCTGTGTGGAGCTCTTCTAGTTTTTTAGACTGTACATGAAGCTACTAAAGAGTCTAAGTGCTAAAAGAGTAAAGTGCTATGCACCACTCTACTACTGTCCGGCACTTCCGATACCCCGATTCAGGCCGGAATGGCCAGAGTCAATGAGTGGGCATGACGCTGCAACCACCGCCGGTCCAGTACTTTTATACATCGATTATTGGCTTACTTTTAATAATATGCGCAACTTCATAATGATTATCAGTATCTGCTACAGAGTACAGGCTGGCAGCTGCGCAGGTCAAGTCCGGAACGAACTGTACAGTGACAATACTATCACTATCAAGTGGCTGTATTATAATTATCATATCTTGCAGTTGCAGCCCCATCTTGTCATTCTTCGCAAGCTTTCAGCTACATAACCGCTGTTCTTATTATTACGTTAACCATCAACCCTGCTGAGTGCTGAGACTACGAGCTCGTACTACTACTAGTAGCAAGGCTCAAGCAGAGTCGCCCACTTCACCAGGTATCCATGTACACTGTGCAGTGTAATTTTGTGATTCACTCATTCCCCGAATACTGTAAGACACGCCTGTCGTAGACTACGTACATGTATTTGAAAGACGACGAAGTCCGACGCTCAGAACCAGAGTGATACATTCATGATGACGTCCTGTCCTCCAGTCCAGAACTCCAGATCCTCCGCTGACAAAAGGCTGTGCTCTGGCCGTGCCCAGCATTCTGCAAATCATGAAATGCCAACACTGCAGTGCACTGCACTACACTGAGCCTGGGCCTGGACCTTTAGTTAGTCCTTTAATACCCTGGCAAAAGTCTCCCAAAACCGCCAGTCTTGGCACCGGTCTTGATGATTATGAAAGGAGCTTCATCACGACATCAGTTCAAGTACTGGGACTGTACTGGAGATGTGCATGCCAGCTCTTTCGTTCACTGCCCGCGAACACTCTACATGTACATGTACTTTGTAAGTCTTCATGGCCGCCATGTTCATATTCGCAGGAACTACTGTTGTAGGCCATGGATATTAACCCTTTATGGGTCTCACATAAGCGTAAGGGTCGTATGTGACCCTTACAGTAAAATCGCATTTTCTGTGAGTTTTGTTGCTAGGAGACAACTAAAATGGTGCTCCACTCGTAGCTGAGGGCCCAGGCTTTCCAACGGTGTAAAAAACAACCATACTTACCATACAAATTTTTGCAGTATCGATCGACTGAAGTCTGGTGAAATTGGAAAAGACGACCATCCGCCATGCGCGCATTTCGAGAATGGGAGTGCATCTCTTGAGGCCGTGTCAGAAAAGCTTTCTGAGGACACTGACGGCACCAGTCTAGGCTGAATGTCCCTGGAGGATTTCCAGTGTAATGTCGTGAGAAAGAGAGCTCCGTTGAGTCCTCCAAGCTCAAATAAATCGTCCCCGAATGAAGAAATCAAATTTACCAACCAGCGAGGAAGCACAGCAACAGCAACTCTTACAGGGACTTGTCAGGTGCGATCAGCTGATTCGCCTGGCCGTGAGAATCACGGCACGCGTGACATCGCGCCTGAGTACTCATCTGAGCGAGAGTGAATCTGACGCGAGCGGCGCTGAGGTGAACGAAACAAAATTGTGATATTGTGGAACTGTTGCTGCTGGTGCATCGCCGATGGCGAGGTATTGGAGTTCAAGGACGGAATTAGGAGCATATATTCTTCACCAAGACGTAGCGCTTACCTGATTGTTTATCATAGGACTTCAGCTCCATCACGAACTTGGTATCTACTTCGTGCTGTGATTTTTGTGCTTTTTTGTTCGCAATTGTATTTTCTCTCAACTTGAAGGGCTACCACGGGTCATATCCTTGCCTGAACATAGTCATATTTGTGTTTTCTGGACGCGTCCAGGCATACATATTTTGAAAATATTATAGTTTACCCATACCTACAACTCACGGAACTTGAGTTATGGCTCGTTGTTTGTACGCGTGTTTGCGTGACCACCCCTCACATACATTGAGTAAGACCCACAAAGGGTTAGGCCACTGGCACTGTACTAGTCCAGGCTCCAAGAAAAGGAACACTATTACAGGGAAGGATACTACATGTAGTAGAATGAATCCTTACTTAGTCAAAGGATGGAATGAAATGAAATGAAAGCTTAGTCAAATCCACAATGGTTATGAAGCCAATTGAAGACTCTGAGGGGTCTTCTAGTCAGCCAACCAGAGCATCTAATTAGCGGTAGTTATAGCAGTACATACCAAAGGCAAAGAGTCTGGGAGGGGGGGGGGGGGGGGGTGCTGGAGTCGGGGGTCTTCTAACTAGTAAAAGCTCAATATAGAAGATGTGTATTATGCAATACTTGTGTTCATGCTATCATCAACAATAAAAGAAAAGCTGACAGGATCACTCTTTCAATGCAGGGTCAGTGTGTATACTAGGATTATCCAAAATAATAAGGACTTACAACATAAAATAAATATGGACTTATCCTATTTAGAAGGGATAGTGATCCTAACTGCAAGTAACACAACTACATGTACATGCCTAAACTACATTGTAGTTTAGGCTTCAGTTCAGGAAAGGGAATACAACTACCATAATTATTACACTACGCCAATGAAAGTCATTATGCGGCGAAAGCACGTGTGGCACCTGACTTTTCGCTTCTGCAAACGTCGATCGCGCCCAAGAAACCGCACAATGTTTGTAGTTGTAAACTCCTCGGTCGCGCCTCGAAATCCTTTCCGCGAGCCCTAGCTACAGTCCATTCAGAAAAAGATGATATCCTAGCTTTTGGCCATAAACGGGTCAAATTTTGAGTTTTCGTCTCCTTTTTTTGGCAATCCCCCATGGAATGCTCTTCCAATTGTGTTTTTGAAGTCTATTTCTCCAAAAAGCAAGCCATAACAAGAATAGGATTTCGGCCTGGTTTTGCCCCCAAAGCACTGAATTGGGTAAAAACCATGAAAATCCAGGCACAGTGTACCACAAAATCGCCAAACACGGGAGCTCTCCAGAGCCAGCGCTCATCTTTTTCTGAATGGACTATAGTACTCTGTACTGTAGACTGTAGTGTAGGCGCGGCCAGGGACTCTTACCAAGGCAAGGGTTACTCACCATGCCTAGTGCATGCATATTGTAGGCTAGGCTAGGCTAGGATTAGTAGTAGGAAGGCTCTGGGCTAGCTAGCTCTTGTCAGCCCTCGTGGACGTGATCGTCACTCAAAAGAGTCAAAGTCAAAACTGACAAAATAAAAGTGTAAACTGCCCGGAAGTGGGTGCCGGGGATTTTTTGGTTGAATGACAGCATGCGATGGTGGCGTGACACAGCCGCACTCCAGCTCCACCGCACGCGCATCGCCCGTCGATGCGTCCGTGCTTTTCAGCTTGTGCTTGCAACCCGAATCGGAGAGAGAACTAACTGGCAGATCGGACGGGCGTTTGTTGCACTTGCGTTGCAGATAAAAATAATAACATTGAACGGAACTCAAGCATTGCAGTACGGATCGGAGAGAAGAAATCTTGCCTTTGCTCGGTTTTGGACCGCTGCTCGTTACACTACAGACTGTGCAGGTAACTATCGTCGGTGTTCAAGAAGATTTTGTTTGTAGCGTTTACCGGTCACTGGCAGCTACTTGCTAGTGTTGCGTGGAGAAAAGCGACTAGAAAATGCTACGGGTGTTAGTGGCAACGTTGCTTCTCGAAGCCCTGCTTCTGCCGGTTTGCCGCTCGCAGCTGACATGGACAATAGTACCGCAAGGCACGGCACCTAGGCCATCCGTGCGAAGTGACTTCGGCTTTGGTTACGATCCAACCGGAAACTCAGTGTACGTGTTCGGTGGACAGGGCGGCAGCGGGATCATGAACGACTTGTGGCGCTTCGATCTGAGTACGAACTCGTGGGCTGAGGTTAACCCCACCACAAGTGCAAGGCCACCTGTCAGATTCAGCATGATTTCAGGATTTTACACGCAAGGACCAGACGGACTGTTCGTTATTTCAACAGGCGAGGGTAGTGGCAAAGTATTCTACAATGACATCTGGGCGTACAACGTGCGTACTGGCGTTTGGACAGAGCTATCGTCGCAAGGCGATGTGCCGACAGAGAGATACGGTGCAGCCGGAGGCCTGCA